GGGCGTAGGCGTACTCAACCGATGACCAAGGTTACCAGCCTGCCCTTTTTCCCCTCCCCCGTCGAATGACCTTTACACACTGATCCCGTCATGTGAGCGGTGTGAAAACGACGAGTTATAATTACAAGACATTTATCAACTTTGTCTAACTCCCGGATTTTCATTATCAATTCAATGGTACAGACTCGCTGATTAATTGCAGAAAACAGGCGTTTCAAGCTATTTTTTGTTTGTTTTGTCGGTCAAGTTGCATATCCAATTTCCAGTTGGTCGTTTAAGCGCAGCATACTGTTGTTTGGATGACTTGAACGTAAACCACGGCAAACTAGGTCCACCACCACTAGATCAAGACCGAATCTACTTATTTTATTGTACGCCAGGAAGTTTGCAGGAAGCCTATGAGTTCAAAACAAGACACCAGAAACACTCACCAGGCCAGAGCGCGTAGCAGGGTTGTTTTGCCGTAACCATTGCGGCCAATGAGACCATAGCGTCTACCAAGGGCCAGATGCAAACTCGCGCCCTCCAGCAGTACCCTGTAAAACGGAGGGGGGGGGAGAGAGAGAAGGTCAGTTAAGAGAACAAAGTGTGGTCACTTGTCAAAAGGGGGAGGTTTGAGGTCAACACAAGTCCTGCGTGGACTGTGTTTTTATGGAGGAGGAGGCCCCCAAGGTCACGCAACTTCACGGCGAGCGGATTCCGACTCGCTTACCTGCAGACACTTGACCGACTTCAATTTATAGATGCTGCTGGTAAAACACACAAAATGGTCTACATTCATTGCAAAACTTAATGAACCACCTATCATATCTTCCTCTTAGCGTATAGTGAGGTCAGGTCAGGTCAGGTTTATTAGGAGAAATATAGGTAAATGTCTTTGAATTCCCTATTGGTACGGAGCAGCTATAAAATGCGTTGGTTCAGCAGGGTGGCAGCGATGCCGGTAAATGGAACTGGGTAAAAAGAGCGGATGATGAAAAAACTCCTTAGGCATTGTTTGCAAATCCTAGAGGTTTGAATGCCATTGGAGAAATTTTAAGGAGAAAAACTGTAGCTCGTGAGGCGAAGGTATAATCTACCTAACCTTTGGAATGAAGGTGCAACGTCAGGTCGTGATTAATTTTATTCGGTAACTGAAATAAAGTTGTCTAAAACCAAAAGATACCCTTTTTCAAGTATAGACCTTAAAGAAGACGTAATTCACTACTAACTACGTACAAGAAAGAATATTCAACAACAGTCTTCGCACGAAGGCTGCTTTCGAGATAAATAGATTGCAGGGTCTGACGAATAAGCAGTTAGAGACAACAATCCGGAAAACTGCTTGGTTGTACAAAAGGCTACAAAGCACTACGATATTGTGACATGGCGAATGATTCCTGACATCAAAAAGTGGCTGCATTTTTCGCCCGGAATAATTCTGAAATGCTAAAATGATATGCTGTACGGGGTTGATAAAGATGCTGCAGGAATAC